TCAAAGAGGAAGGGAGAGGGAGAGAGAGAGATAGAAACATCCATGATGAGAGGGAATCATGGATCGCCTGCCTCCCGCATGCCCCCTGCTGGGGATCGAGCCCGCAACCCGGGCATGTGACCTTGACCAGAATCGAACCGTGACCTCCTGGTTCATAGGTCGACATTCAACTACTGAGCCACGCCGGCCGGGCGCTCGAGATGGTTTATACACCGATACGTGCAGCTGTGGTCCAATACAGCTGTTATTTGGGAAAACAGACACAGGGCTGGGTTGGCCCACAAGCTGACATTCTAAGCCCCTTGGGCCACAGAGACGCAAAAAAAAAAAGACTAAATACTAGGTTCAGGGTCTCCCGGCTGAAGCTGAAAACCAGCTGGTCTGGCTAATGGGAGATGCAAAACGCAGACACACCCGACCTCCCCCTCTCCCACCCTAGGATCCTGCCGATTCCTCCCACTGCACAGCCAGCTGGAGGCCAGCTGACAGAGGCCCGGGAAACCCTATCTGTGGAGATCAGCCTCTGAAACAACAGAGGAACAAAGATAAAAGGATGTGCAGTCAAAGAGGGCACACGTGGGCACCGCTAGTCAACTAATTTCATTCAGAAAAATGTTAGACCAGGACGGGGCACAGCTCTTACCCTGGGATCGCTGACATATGACTGCATGAAAGGGTATGGGTCCAAAGAGGGGCTAGGAAAGAATATACACTAATCTCGGTGCAAATTAACCGAAAGTAAAGGGAATACGTAACTAAAGGGTTGCTGTGCTCGGCCATCGTACCTGTACAGACTCAAATCCCTCAAAGAATAGCAGGCAGGTGTGTGTGTGTGTGTGTGTGTGTGTGTGTGTGTGCGCGCGCGCAGATTTCTGAATACACTCAGTAATTCATCAATTCCATTATTGCTTTTTTCCCATTAGACTCTTGCTGTAAAAGAAGTGACTGCTGTTAATTTTTTATCTCTATAACTGTTGCACACATTACAAAGAGAGAAGTGAGGTTTAGAAACAGATGGATTCACAGCGAAGGTTTTATGTAGCAAATATTCAAAAGGAGCCCTAACCGGTGTGGCTCAGTGGATAGAGTGTCGGCCTGCGGACTGAAGGGTCCCAGGTTTGATTCTGGTCAAGGGCATGTACCTTGGTTGTGGGCACATCCCCAGTGGGGGTATGCAGGAGGCAGCTGATCAATGTTTCTCTCTCATCGATGCTTCTAACTCTCTATCCCTCTCCCTTCCTCTCTGTAAAAAATCAATAAAATATATTTTTTTAAAAATAAGTAATAATACAAGGATACAGTCTGTTTCATATACTCGCAACTGTAACCCTACTTTTGCCAACCCCTGTAGTTTAAAAATACCAAGAAAGGTTCATCAGGGTACTTTTTTTTTTCTTTTTAATCCTCACCTGAGGATATTTTTTCCATTGATTTTTAGAAAGAGTGGAAGGGAAGGGAGAGACAAAAGAGAGAGAAACATCGATTGGTTGCCTCCTGCACCGGCTGGGGATCGAGCCTGCCACTGAGTTACGTGCCCTTGAGTGGAATTGAACCTGGGACCCTTCCATCTGCAGGCCGACGCCCTATCCACTGAGCCAAACCGGCCGGGGCTCATCCGGGTATTCCAACAACTCTTACAGAGGAATCATCACAGCATCTCTAGACTTTCCCAGTGACTCATTTTCATGAGCTAAATGAGAAGCCGGTCGCATTCGCCTCTCCAAACTGCACACGCTAAGCCGTCAAGAATCAACCGACCAGTTGCAATTCCTCACCAGTCCTAGATCAACTGCATCTCAACTAAAGACCATAAGCAGCTTGCAATGAGCTCTGTGCCTCTGAGGTTTTATGAAACACAGCTACGCGCTCTGGACATTTACGATGTCCCTGAGCCCAGGGCACTGAAGTCCAAATTCTAGAAACTATCATGGAAGAGAGAGAAAAAAAAAAACACCAAACACAAAAAAAACAGACAACAGCTCGGTGTGAAGACACAGCTCTGAAGCCGGGAAATAAATACTGCTCTCCGGGCCCCTGTGCGGCTCCCATATTTTTGATATCTTTATCCGGGCCGTCAACATTTTTTCTCTCCTCCTTCCTGGCTGGGCCCATTCTTCCATAACCTCTCCTGTCCTCCCCAGCTACACTATTCCCCAGGCTCACAATTTCTCTTCCCAGCCTTTATGTTCTCCCACAAACTGCCCGCGCCCGTCTGCAGGCCGGGGCTCCCTAACTACACATGGTTATTGATGTCCAGGCCCGTGTTTTAGTGCAGCACAGAATCAATAAACTGAGAAAATACTGCTTTGTCAGGCTTCGCCGAGGCATGCCGGGAGGTTTTACTGCCTCGGATGGTTACAGCAACTCTTAAAGGTGGGAGCGCGCGGGCCGGGCTCCCTGCTGCGGCCAGAAGTGAAGTTCTTCTCCCCTCTAGTGACTATAAAGGGATAAGACAAGAGCGTGGAGGGATTTCTGAGACGGTTCCACATTATTTATTGGCTCTTCGTTTCGAAAAGGGAGCTGGAGGCTTGGGCACCGAGGGAAGTGGCGGGGGAGCCCAAACACCTTATTAGAGTTCTTTCTGAAAGGGCTCAACATGCAAAGGAGATAATGCTTTAGGGAGCGTCGGAACCTGGGGTGCCTTTGAATTTTATTTTATATTATTGATTTTAAAAAAAATATATTTGTATTGATTTCAGAGAGGAAGGGAAAGAGAGAGACAGACATCAAGGATGAGAGAGAATCATGGATCGGATGCCTCCTGCATGCCCCCTAGTGGGGATCGAGCCCGCAACCCGGGCATGTGCCCTTGACTGGAATCGAACCCGGGACCCTTCAGTCTGCAGGCCGATGCTCTATCCACTGAGCCAAACCAGGTAGGGCTCTTTTGAATTTTAAAAGACAAGGTTTCTCAAGTTTGCCTGTCTTCCTAAATGACTAGGGCTGGTCAGGTTACAAATCTCTCAATCGCTCTCTCTCTCTCTCTCCCTCTCTCTCTCTTATAAATTCACAAAGTCTCTCTCTCACACACACACACACACACACACACACACACACACTCTCTCTCTCTCTCTCTCTTATAAATTCACAAAGTCTTTGTCTCATTCTCCTTATTTTACACAGAAGGAAGCGGCTGAAACACAGGGAGGTCAGAAATCAGAGCTGGCCTATGTATTTGTGCAGGTGTTTGTGTGAATAAAGACATATAAGTAACTGACACAGCCTCCCCCCCGCCCCATGCACACATAAACCACCGCCGTCCCTATGTGGGTTATTTCTCTTTAACAAAGCAGCCCGGCTGCTAAATGAAGTTTTGATTTTTAAAAATGTTTTGTTGGTTTCGTTTCACACTCATTTAGGCATCCAGTCACGTAAGTTGCAAGGTGCTAATTTCATAACCTGATAACTCAGAATGCATTTCTACCTCGGTACCGACACTTTTTTACAAATTGGACCACCATGGACATAATTGCTTAAGTATAAACTAACCATGTTAAAAAAATCACCAGAACTGGTATTAAGAAATACCTAAAGAATCTCACCCAAAAAGCAATGTTTTTTTTCCCCCAGAAGTTATAAAACACGTCAAATCCTTTTAATTTATATTTTCTTTGTCCCTGTAACACCAAAGCTAATCTCTAACCTAACGGTAAATAACTTCCTAAAAGACTCCATCTAGCTGCGCGACACCCCAAATAATCTAAACTTAATGAAGTGGAACGTTCCAGCGTGGCCAGGACATATAAAATGTCACCACCAAAGCAAGGGAGCGTGAGTTCAAACATCTGGCTGTGCCCTTATTGAGTGAAATTTTAAAAGGGAGGTTGTGTCCTCCGGCCGAACAGCAGGGCGAGGAATAGAACCCGCTCCGTGTGAGGGGCCGGCGGTATGACGCACACGTGCGCTTGTATTTGTAATGAAGATGAATTTCTAACCCAAGGGTATAAATAACACATTAAAAAAAAAAAACAGTGGTATTTACCTTGCCTCCGCTTATCCGCTTCCGATTCGACCAACGCTGAGGGTCGCGTCCATTGAATGGTGAAGAAGGGAAAAAAAGGAAAGAGAGAAACAGAATCGTTAGCCACACAAAGATAGCATTCTACTAGTTAGATTAGATGGTAAAGATGGCTGGGAATGACGGACATCCCACCTTTGTCTGAGGTGACAGAGAAAACACGTGTGAGCAAGGAAACAGTTAGAAACAGAGAGAAATCACGCATCTGTGGCAGTTACACTATTTGCTCACAGTCCTTTCAACAAGGAACGCTCAAGGTCAGAGAAATACTGTTCAGTCCATAGAAGTCCTTTACGCTTATGTTCTGAAACGCCTTAAAACGGTACAATTTCTCCTCTAAAAGGCAGAGTTCTCCTACTTGAAATATTCAGGTGAGGTTACAAAAATATTTAAAGAAATTCGGGGACAATGTGAGTTCATGTTTAGGTTTCCAGAGTTTTAGATACTAGAAAAATAATTCCATTTACCTCCACGGATTAACTCTCAATTTTAAAAAAAAAAATCGGAGTCATTCCTACACAATGAAGAAAAATAGGCTAACACAGCTCTGAGGGAGAGAAGAAAAAATTTCTGAACAGCAAGGAATTTCTCCACCGCTCTGTTTGGCGCTCTCGTGGGTCATGCTAAACTAAGGCTGCTGAATTGCGTAGACAATTAAAATTCTCTCCTAGCAGAATCCTCTCCTTCCCTCCATCACTGCCCAGGACTGTGGCTGGTTAGCCACCTAACTGGATGTTCAAACTCGGATAAATTTGGGAGATTACAACTCAATTATGAGCCTAATGGAGCAGCCCACATTGATTATTATTGCTTAAGGAAAAAACACCTTTAGGCAAATGACCTGTCCATGCCACCAATACATCTTCCCCGTAAATTATAAACCAGGCATTATATAGTCTTTGGGGGAAATCCTCTTATATTCTAGTGACCAGCAACTAGAAACGTGGATACAGAAGTGACTTGAAAATATTCTTTATTTAAAAACACTTCTGCTGGTGCGACTGTGAGTTCAGCATTAAGCACATGACATGGAGTTGTAGATACTACAACCTGGGTGCTAAAATCAGTTCTTTTTCGTATTATCCCAGGAACACATTGACATGTATTTCAACCCAAACATACATCAAAATTAATTACCATCTTAAAGGTACACAAGGCTATTTAGGGCCTTTTGACGTATGATTCTTTTGAACTCTATAATAATTATAAAAGACATATAAAATGGATGTGGATATAAGTGCAGAATGACTGTTACTGTCTGCTTATTACAATACGAAAGCTACCATATATAGAGTGCCTACCCCATGCCAAACTCTGCATCTGATCATCTCAATCTTCGCAATTTTTTAAAATAACCTTTTTTTTTTAATCCCCATTTCACTCATGAGGAAATTGTCGCTGAGAGGCGTTGGGTTTGTCTGTGAATTTGACCTGCTCGCTGAATTCTCAAAACTCGAAAATGTGGGAGCCGGGATTCAAACCCAGGGAGTCGGATGACAGAGGCTGTGATTCTAACTCCAATCCTATTTTTTGCCAAGAAAAAGAGATAGCAGGTTGGTCAGCTTTCCAGCCATTCACTGCCTTACCTTCTCACTGTGCTCTGCCCACATACACAGCAATCCATGCCTAAGGGTCAATTCCTAGACATTTTGCACATGTTAAGGTTTTTGTCAGCTTGGTTCTAGAGCAACAGCGATTGCCTCAATGATGATGGTAAGAAATATGGGTTCAACACTGAGAATCTCTCCATCAGACTTTAAAGGAAAATGGAAATTTATAAACAAAAAATATTCCCTATCAATAAACCTATCAATAAACCTCTGTCTTCCCAGTTTCGTGTTATTATTCCCATTTAAAAAAAACCTAAATAGTCACTTAAACTCAATTTTAAAAAATCCTCAAGAGGGAAAACACTCCATGAAAATACCTCTCTAGGTTCATGGACCATGTGTAGAGTCATCATTCATCAAAAACATCCGAATCTTTGAAATCTGGGTGAAATTGAGGAGCCCCAATAAACAACTTACCATTGGTGACAGACTGAGCTAGAAGAATTGACTAAGGAAATTCAGAAACATCTGACTCAAAAATCAGTAAAACTATGTAAAATTGTCAGATGTTCTCTATCAATCTGTTCAATAAATATTTATTGAGTATATTTTATTTTTTAAAAAATCCTCAGACATTTCCTTTTATATCCAAAAGGTCTCCAACAGGCACTGTGAGTCGAGTAACTACCCCCGGCCCGGGATAAATTATTCCTTGCAGGGGTACACTTTGATCAAGTACAGAAACAGAAAAATAAAACTACCAGTTGGAACAAATGAGAGCAGGCAGGGTTTTTTCCCTGCGTTATAATACCCACAGAAAACATATACAAAATAAGTATTTTGCACACTAGACCTCTGCCAGACAGGCAAAGAACAAAGACAATGAGAAAAGTACATGAGCGAGCACATATCCAGCCTGAAAATTTCTCAAAAACAGCAGGTGGGGCCCGGCCAGTGTGGCTCAGTGGTTGAGTGCTGACCTATGAACCAGGAGGTCTCGGTCCGATTCCCGGTCAAGGGCACATGCCCAGGTTGCGAGCTCCATCCCCAGTGTGGGGTGTGCAGGAGGCAGCCGATCCATGATTCTCTCTCATCACTGATCTCTCTCTCTCTCTCTCCCTCTCCCTTCCTCTCTGAAATCAATAAAAATGTACTTTTTAAAAAAATTGGAGCCAAACCAAATAACATGACAAGTGTGGCTACTTTTAGGACTCTGAAAAGATATTTCTTGAGATGCTTTATATAAAAAACAACAACAAAAACTCAAGCTGTATTGAATATTAATATTTCTGCCATTTGAAATAAAATTTTTAACTAAGGTAGCATTACTTTCAAACTCCAAACTTTGGCAATATTTAAATATATTGTAAGGGTCACTGCTAAACATAATCTAATCTATCACAGGAAAATTTACAAGGGGAATAAGTATGCAGCCAGTATGCCGCTTAAACATGCAAGTGTTTTCATGGGGAAATTATCCAACTTTACAAACCCCACTTACACAGGTAAGAAATTATTGGAACCTATCAGCTAGCAATTGCTCACCACGTGGCAAACGATACTGGCTCACATTCATGTATCTTAACCCGGCATCCAGCTCAAGTGAGTGGTCCCCTCCTGCTCACAGTGACACTGGCTCGAGTGCCAATACTGTCAAGACTAAGAGAAGCCACAGAAAATTCCTTCTTCCTGACGTTAGCTAGAAAAATAGATTCATTTTCAACAGCAACTCGAAGACATTTCAACATCCAAACGTCAGCGTTAAAGAGGCCTCAAGTTTGAACGCTGACACTTTTTTAAAAAAAAACGATGGATGTTTTTTTTTTTCCGTCATTGTCCAGTAAATCCGCGTACGGTTTTGAATTAAAAATAGCAACTATTTAGCTGACTTTCTGGCATTTGAAAAGCCACAGTGCCGTGTTCCTGCTTCCTGAAGCCGTTTTTCTCGGGTCACCAGTAAATCAGTCATGACTTTCATCGTGAAAATAAGTTACAACGACAAGCAAAGATGATGTCAAAATGAAGAATATTCTTGTCACCGACCCCAGTGACTCAATTCGAGAGGCATTAATGGAGGCCTAATTTATAAACAGGCCCGATTTGAAACGCGCTCAATTTTCACACAGCTTCGTCCCTTTTCGAGGAGGTATTTCGGCCGGCTTCAAAAATACCTTCCGAATAAGTGACAACCAAAGATGCTTCTTGTTCTTATTTTAATTCTTGGAGTCTCATGATATGCTCTGAATATAAAATAAGATTACTATTTGCATTCACATATGTGCTCAAAATAACAGAACCCCAGCCACCTCATCACAAAACCCAAAGCTGTGTTGGTATTACAGGAATCTGCACCAGGTTGTGCATTAGCTGGAAATTTCTATGTAACGGACCACAGAACATTAAAATCTCTATCCTCCCAAAAGTACTCTCCATAGAAAACTTGGTGGCTAAAAGAAACAGAAACGGAAATGCTTCAAATATATACTAGACTTGGTCGCCTTAATAATGTACAACGCAGTAATTAAATCCTGGAAACTGCTTTTCGTAACTGAACAATACCCAAGTTCTCTAGTACCTAAGGAGATGGTAAGTAAAAACCTGAACACTTAGTAAAATTGTATTTCAGATGATCTGCTAAGAGCAAACCATAAGCCACATACACATTTTAGTCAGAGCAGCACTATCTATATCTCTAGCCCAAACAGGGAGAATTCTTTTTTTAAAAATATATTTTATTGATTTTTTTTACAGAGAGGAAGGGAGAGGGATAGAGAGTTAGAAAAATCATGAGAGGGAAACATCAATTAGCTGCCTCCTGCACACCCCCTACTGGGGATGTGCCTGCAACCAAGGTACATGCCCTTGACAGGAATCGAACCTGGGACCCTTCAGTCTGCAGGCCGACGCTCTATCCACTGAGCAAACCGGTTAGGGCACGAGAATTCTTAATTGATTTTCTTTCCAGAGATCCAAAAGAGAGGATATATATGTATGTATGTATGTGTATATTTATACCACTGATAAGTTCTTTAAGTCTCTGTTAAATTATTTGTTTCCCCCTCAAAACAATTACAAAAAAGATCAATCCACCTGGTCGCCCAGTGATCCAAGGATGCAGGCAATGGAGGATTTCAAAAAGAATAAAATGGGGGATACTCACATGTCGCTTAAAGTCACCCTGTTTTACAACGAGATTCAGGTTTAACACAATCACTCCCATGTCGTCTTCTAAACTGTTTGGGTCTTCCAATTTTAAAATATGTTCGGTCGTTCTACAAGCAAAAAAAAAAATAGAAAAATCAACAAAACCAACAAATAACGTGAGCACTGACTGGCAGTCCTGTGTAGTCTTATAAGGCATCAGAAACCCAGGGTAAAAGCCTCCTACCTCTGAATAAGGGTTAGACACAAGTGTAAAAAGCACCAAATTCAGGAAATGAAACAATCGCTTTCAAGGTAGAGAAATTGTGTGGCATTGCCTCATTCAACAGCTGGTTAACTGCTTCTCACCGTCTCCCCCCCAATAAAATGTAAATACTTGTTTTAATTTCAAGTCAGGTAGGTGAACAGAAACCTGAATATTAACAAGTGAGAGGGAAAAATGCACTGCACACTGCAGCATATATGATGGAGGACTTCGTATCTGACAAGTACGTTTGGGAACTGAACAGCAAAAATCATTCATCTAAGACATGTTCAGCACTCTTTCATAGATGCAGACTTTTTCGTCATTTGATTTAAACGAATGCCAGTTAACATGATCTCGAGTTCCCTCTAAAATTCATTAATAACTATTAGGAGGTAAAAGTACAATACCTGTTCAGCTCAAGTTCGCTGAGGACGACAAACGCAGAGCCCATGAAATCAGACGTAGTTAAATCTCGATCATATACCTTTAAAAGCGGGACCAGGAACACACGTTAATGCGGTAAACCCACGTCTGTCAAATTATTCATACATGTAATAGGCTGAGAACTTTACATTCAGTCTTCTCGCTCTAAAAATAATTTGCATAGTACAGTTCAAGAGGAAGTTAGCCAAGCCGATGGAGAGGAGAAAATTACTCTAACTTGCCCATTTTGCCCGAAACAGCAGCAGAATATACTTCTAAGGCAGTGTTCCTAGGCATTCAGACGTTATGCACAATGGACTACTCTCCGTCGTCTTAAACCGGCTCTCATTAAAATTTAGTATTTTCCATGGTGAGTTAGGTCTGCCAATTAAATAGAAATTTGCTAGATATTCTCTAGCAATCTCCTCCTGCACTCAACTCAGGCGGTTTTCACCCAGATGTTAGAGCAATTAATGCTTACAACCAGGAGCTTAAAGCTCTATTAAGTATAAAGTTATTCCTAATGAGAGCGGCTTTAGGACGCGTCGCTCCTGAACTGCCGGTAATAATTCTTCCACATCCGGTAAGTTTAAGTACAATCAACGGAGATGTGGTTTTCCACGCGGATGTTCTGTACCGTCTGTATCTCATGGGTCTGAAAGAAATACACATTGTCGGCGAGGCATATAGACAACCCTATCCCTGCTAGTATTTTTAACCCAGCGCTTAAGAACAATGAAAGAATGAATTTGGGGAGGTTCATTTTGAAGAGGGCAGCGATCGGCCTACAAGAGCAGATCTGAAAGCTAATCCATGACTGATTACCTTCACACGGAGCTTCTGATCAAGGCTTTGGATTGGCAAGACAACGATCTCATCCCAGACCGGGTTCAAGTTCTTATATATGACTTTGCTTTTGTACAGCGTCTTCCCGTTCAGCTTAAATTTCACGTAGGGATCGCTGGTGCCTTTGAGAGAGAAAGAGAGCGAGCTAGACAGGTTTGTGTGTTTTTTTTCAAATGTACGCGAACGCCTGGGATCTCTCCATTAAGTAAAGTTTCTTTCCACACTCCCAGAGCTCAAAGCATTTCATCACGCGCATCCAGAACGGATCTGTCCCTGAGCAGACCCCGAAGGCCCCGGAGGTGGGAGCAGGGACATACGAAACAATTTGGGGTAAAGGACGGATTTGTGTCTGCCGTCCGTGGCGGAATATAAACGGGCTCCTTGAGCGCTTTCTGTCTTGTTTCATTGGGAGAATGTCATCACTACACTGCCCCCAAAATTCCGCAGTCAAATCCACTAGCGATGTCGGGAGTCCTGGGGAGACGCCCACCCTCTTTAAGAATGGCTGGGAGGCAGTGAAAAGGGAAAAGAAACCATTTTTTGGTGTGTTTTTTCTTTTGTTTTGTTTTTTTCAAACATTTGGCCAGATGGCGGATTCGACAGGACCCTGTATGTCAGAACATAATCATAATAAATAAATCAATCTCTGGGACCCCTGGCTCAAAAGATGGGGCGAGGGGATGGAGCCTGGAACCGGGGGAGGGGGGCGGGGGGGGGTAGAGATTAAATGGACAAAGTTGCCATTCTTCGCTGCCTCCCGCACCTGCAGGGAAGCAGGGAGCATTGTTCGGCCCCGGCCAGCTGAACGCCACACCAGCCAGGCCCTTCGCGGGCCCCGGGCGGCACCCCTGACCTGCCCGCCCCTCCTGGGGAGCTTTGAATCGGACGCCAAAAGAAATGAATGAGGTCCCTCCAGCCACGGTGTCCAGAGCAGAAAAGAGGGCCGATGACGGGCCCTCGTCCACACTTCTGAGATCAATGGAGAAGGGGGGGGGGGGATGCCTGCCGACATAATGCCTGGGTTATGTGTGGTGCATGTGGGCTACATGCATGCAAGTATGCCATCATGCCTGGGACACGTAACAGAGACAGGAACACATGTGCATTAATACCTGGTGAATTACGACTAAAGAGGGCTTAAACGAACAGCCAGCTGGAATGGCTACAAAGGAAGAAAAAAAATCGAATTTGGGGTTATATTATCGTAGTTAATTGTGAAACAGCCCGAGCCGGTCTGGCTCAGTGGATAGAGCGTCGGCCTGAGGATTGAAGGGTCCTGGGTTCGATTCCGTTCAAGGGCACGTGGCTGGGTTGCAAGCTCGATTCCCAGTAGGGGGCGTGCAGGAGGCAGCCGATCCATGATTCTTTCTCATCATTGAAGTTTCTATCTCTCTCTCCCCTCTCCCTTCCTCTCTGAAATCAACAAAAATCTATTTAAACAGAATTGTGAAACACAGAACTATGAATAAGCACAGAAAGACCCCTGAGTCACCACAGTACCCCCCCTATGGGTACTGAACTGAATTCTTGATACTAACAGCGAGCCAAATAGCCTAAGTGTATTCGATCAACAATTAAGGAAGTTACTCTGTCATTAACATGGGCCAAGCTGTTAATACCCATCATCAATTACTTGAATCGGTTCCTTTTTTAACTCCATTTTTTCCCCATGTTTCTATTTAGCTGCAGAACTAAAAATTAGTGAAAAAATGAAGGCAATACCTTTCCCAACTATTTTCACCCCATGCCATGTGCCTGTAAAGCAGGGGTTCTCAACCTTCTGGCCCTTCAAATACAGTTCCTCATGTTGTGGCCCAGCCATAACATTATTTTCGTGGCTACTTCCTAACTGTAATGTTGCTACTGTGATGAATCGTCATGTAAATATCTGATATGCAGGATGGTCTTAGGCGACCCCTGGGAAAGGGTCGTTCGACCGCCAAAGGGGTCGCGACCCACAGGTTGAGAACCGCTACTGTGAAGCAAGATGTTATGTGCGTATTGTATCACCAGCCTTACCAGGCGGGCACAGGGATCATTTTGATGTTCGTCTTCTAATCTCGCAAGGCTACTAACTTTAAAACAAAGAAATGAGACGACAAAGACCCACGGAGACATATCAAGTGTCACACTGGGAGTTTGGCAACACGGGGCGGACAGAAGCCCAGCTGCCTTTAGTTTAAACACAGACACACACACACACTCACACACACACACGCACGCACACACACGCACACATGCACACGCCAAGTTAAGTGTAGTTCTGGGCGGGATTGTAAAAATGAGCGCATTCACAGCCACTAGCCTGTGAGCAATCTGGCCCCCACCCCCCAACCCCTGCCAGCCGGACTGTAACAATCATCCTGGTATCTGTCTATATATAAATAAATAAAAAGTGGAGGAAAAACTATAATAAAAAGAGGCCCTTAATTAAATGAAAGTGCCACTGTGGGATCAGGGCTTCATGCTTGTCAGCACTCTCTCCAAATAAACATCTCAAGCCCAGGCCTCGCTGGTACCCCCTGCTCCCCGGCAAAGCACCCTGGGTAATCCCCAGGCACCCTGACAGCCACATAATGTCCAAACTGTTTCACGGGTGAATGGCGGCCGTCGCGTGAAAGAAGATCTTAATGCCTGGGATTCGCCGAAGGGGGGGCCGGGGCTTACGGAGCCCGGGGAGGAAAGAGGGGGTCACGTCCGTCCAGCGCGGCGTTAATTGTTCGGGAAAATCCGAGAAAGGGGGGGGGGGCAGTGGGGCGATCTTTTTTTTTTCTCTCTCGGAGCCTAAGTGCCTGGCTGTCAGGGATGAAACATCTCAACTAGGCAGGCTCTACAAAGGGGTCAGCCGCTCCGAAAGGCAACTCCCAGATTATACAGATGACGAGATGACACCTGAATGGGTGGACTTTAACCTTTTTTCACTGGGGGCTCTTGGGAAGGAGGAGGTAGGGTGGGGCTTGGGGAGGGGGAAGAGGCCGGTGACGGTGCCTCGGGGCTGGGGCTGCCACTGATTCTGCCATGTGGACCCCATGGAGGGACACAACCTCCAATTCCCAATACCAAGGCCGCCCCAGCTGGTGTGGCTCAGTGGTTAGAGCGCCGGCCTGTGGACAGAGGGTCCCGGGTTCGATTCCGGTCAAGGGCATGTACCTCGGTTGCCGGCTCCTCCCTGGCCTGGGCCCTGGTCGGGGCATGTGCAGGAGGCAAACTATTGATGGGTTTCTCTCACATCGATGTTTCTCTCTGTCTTTCCCTCTCTCTTAAAACAAAATATCAATGGCCCTAGCTGGTTTGGTTCAGTGGATAGAGATCGGCCTACGGACTGAAGGGTCCCGGGTTCGATTTCGGTCAAGGGCACATGCCTGGGTTGCGCACTCAATCCCCAGTGTGGGGTGAGCAGGAGGCAGCCGGTCCATGATTCTCTCATCATGGATGTTTCTATCTCTCTCTCCCTCTCCCTACCTCTCTGAAATCAATAAAAATATATTTAAAAAATAAAAGTAAAACCAACAACAAATGAATAATGGTACTGCCTGTTTTTCTCTATTTCTAACATTGGAGTAAATCATGTTTTAGTGACCTACATTTCTAGATCTTGGTCAGGAAAATTCTTGTTCAGATCCCCGCCCCTTTCCCTATGGGTGTACAGTTCATGATTAGCTTACGAATTTGAATGGGTCCTTCATTATGGAAATCAGCCATCGGCTATAGAGATCACGTCATAACTTGTTTAACTTTACGTGACTTCTTGCAACAAGTAATTTTCATTTTTATTTGGTCAAATTTTGGCCAAATTTACGGCACTGGAGTTTGACATTCTGCTTAGAAGCAGTTTTCTCTACGAGATTTTAAATGAGTTCTGCCATGTTTCTTCCACTGATTTTGTAGTTTTTCGTTTTTTGTTTTTTACACGTAAGCCTTCGGTCCATCTGGAATGACCTGGGTGTGAGGAGGGAAGGGAATTCAGCTTTGCTGATGAGCAAGAGCAGAAAGTGACCGGCGCCAAGCTGGGAAATATAAATCTGGCAGCAGCTTATAACTCAGAAGGCAGAAGAAACCAGCAGCACCAGGGGAACCTGGGAGTTGAGAGAACACAGCACCGGGGCACGGAGCACGTGGAAGAAAAGGGGCCCCAGGCCCCAGACGGGAGAACCCCGAGTTTCACATGGAATGTTCACCTCGAGAGACGCTCCTTCGTGGGGGGAGAGGGTTATGTCCCCGAAACCACTGGGAACGGCTCCTGAACATTTTCTCACTTAGAGCTTCGCATCATAGACTAAGATAGCGGTTCTCAACCTGTGGGTCGCGACCCCTTTGGGGGTCGAACGACCCTTTCACAGGGGTCGCCTAAGACCATTCTGCGTATCAGATATTTACATGACGATTCATAACAGTAGCAACATTACCGTTATGAAGTAGCAACGAAAATAATTTTATGGTTGGGTCACAACATGAGGAACTGTATTAAAGGTTCGCAGCATTAGGAAGGTTGAGAACCACTGGACTAAGACATTCAACTCTGCCAAGAGCTGCATTGAAGACAGACAATCACAACAATAAAAGTTGAAAACTTTCCAACTCTTTCAATTTTCATAAAATTATTAATTTTTTATTCCTCATCCGAGGATATTTTTCCATTGATTTTTAGGGAGAGTGGAAGTGAGAGAGAGGGAAAGACAGAGAGAAACATTGACGTGAGAGGAACACATCGATTGGTTGCCTCCTGCAGGCGCCCTGACCGGGGCCCAGGCCAGGGAGGATCCTGCAACCGACGTACTTGCCCTTGACCAGAATCAAACCTGGGACCCTTCAGTCCGCAGGCCAATGCTCTATCCACTGAGCCTAACCGGCTAGGGCCCTCATAAAGTTATTTTAACATCGAAAATGTTTGGCTGGGACCATCTAGGAACATAATATTAAACTTCTCTGATTCAAAGCTCTGGAACGTAAATTTATGCCCAGAATTGCCTACTATGCATGGTGGATGTACCACAGACAGGTGATGCGTGAATGGATGAACTCTGAATTAAGATGGGAATGGTGGATGGAAACCCCAGACCTCCCTTTTAGTGACTGAATCACCTTTGGCAACTTAACACATAGCGGACCAGTAGTTTCATTGCCAGCTTTACCCAGTGGCCAGATAAGTTTCTATTGAACGAGTACAAAAAACTGAAAACCAGCCCTAGCTGGTTTGGCTCAGTGGATAGAGCATCAGCCTGCAGACTGAAAGGTCCCAGGTTCGATTCCGGTCAAGGGCACATGCCCAGGTTACAGGCTTGATCCCCAGTGGGGGGCCTGCAGGAGGCGGCCGATCCATGATTCTCTCTCATCATGGATGTGTCTATCTCTCCCTCTCCCCCTCCCTTCCTCCCTGAAATCAATAAAAATCTTTAAGGAAAAAAACACACCTGACAATCACTAAGTATTCATAACTCCTGGCCACCACCCTACTCCAAGCCTGTGGTGACGCACTGAGGATTCCAGAGCACTTTGCCGGTTAAATCGGATGAAAATAACAGGCAGCTCAGTGAGAAGGACACACGACAACTCAAATCGATCCTCACGAGAGTCATCAGGAACCATATTATTTGACTGTCTTGTTCTCATCTGGAGATTTTTTGAGCAGCTGCTGCTGCCCTCTAGTGGCTGAAGCAGTAAGTTCCAGCCTGCACAGCGGCCAAGTGCATGCCTCATTCTTCACGGACCCCTACAGAAACCACAGTGGGCATTCTGGAAATTGAGAGGGAATTTCTCCTGGGTCACATGGGAAAGAAGAAACTCTGTTTTTCTTTGTCGACTAAAATCTCTCTCCCTCTCTCTTCCTCTCTGAAATGAATATATATATATAGTGTCCCAAAATTCACGCAAGATTTGAATTTTGCATGAGCATTAACAACAACAACAACAACAACAAATAAAAGCCTAATTTTACTTGGTTTATTGAATAAGATTCTAATATCTGTTGCCCTTTGATATCAATCCCTTCAATTTGATAAGCATTACCAAGTACCAATTATGACCCAGGAGAGGGACAATGAAGACCAATGAAGACCACGGCTTTGTGTATGTGCCAGCAAAGCCGTGGAGGCCATTTACCCGATGTGCTATTCCATACATAACCCTATACTGTATGCTTTATGAATCAATAAAAAATTTACAATTTTTAATTATAAACCTGTGTTTTCTATCAAAATTACTTCTTGCGTGAATTTTGGGACTATATATATATATATATATAATTTTCCAGAGCTTCTTTCAGAAATTGGGTTTTGGTCAATTACTCAGAAATTATTACATTACAGCAGGGGTCCTCAAACTACGGCCTGCGGGCCACATGCAAATACAAATACTGTATTTGTTCCCGTTTTGTTTTTTTACTTCAAAATAAGATATGTGCAGTGTGCATAGGAATTTGTTCATTTTTTTTTAAACTATAGTCCGGCCCTCCAACAGTCTGAGGGACAGTGAACTGGCCCCCTGTTTAAAAAGTTTGAGGACCCCTGCATTACAGGGTCCATCCGTGGGCAGAGCTTGTTCAAGGTGCCTTTGGGGTTCTACACATGGTGGGTCCATCAGATGGGGGGAGGGCAGTCAGTCATGCTCCGGAAGAAAGTTCCAGAATATTTCAACCAGGATGGCAAAACGGAGAGCGTGGCCTGCAGACTGGAACGGAGAGATCCTTTTCTATCGCTGGGAGCACAGAGGAGCTCCTAGAAGCAGCAGCCACCATGTGCAGAACACGGCCCAGGGAGAGCCCAGGCCGGCCACGGCCACTTCCTGTCATGTCAGTGGGTGCCACCTGGCATGGAAATCAGCTAGAATCGAACCTACTTTGCCTTCCCTTCAGGAACAGAGACTTTGTTACTGACCGAGGACCACCGGTTGGCGACTGCTGGTCTAGACAGCAAGAGAGCTTCAAGACCTTCTCATCAACCCACCAGGATGCTCACTCCCAAAGCAAAGCCCAACCACAAACATCTCCCGAGGAAAGACCTTGGTTTGGGGACACACTGAACACTGTGAGGACAGACATGGCTGATGGGCGGTGATCGGTACCAACGTGGGAAGGGAATAAAGAGAAACAGGTTTCAAATGCCAGCTCCCCTCGCTTGCTGTGCGCCTAAGCAGGCTACCAAACTCAAGGCGTGGGGGAGAGCCAACCCCCACCTGCGCTTCGGGGTGAGTGTCTGCATCTCTGAAAGTTTCAGATTTGCTCTGGAATGACCATCTTTCAGAGACGCTGGCCAGATGTGGTTGGTTTGCTCCCGCACAGCACCCAGTGGTCTCACGCCACCTGGTGTTCAGAGAAGGTACTCCCAGGTGAAGCAACCCCCAGGTTTTTTGCAAAATAACCTTTCGATACAATTAAGCTGTGGTGTGGTGCTGGCACCTGAACAAAACAGTACACCCGTGGGAATCAAAGAGAAACCCAGGCAGACCCTAGGAAGTACTGCATTTTAATGTGCAATTAAAAAGTGGCAATCGAATCATTGGGGAAAGGAAAGGTTAGTCCTAGTTAATTAAATAGCCATTTGGCAAAAAAAGTAAAACCAAGTCCCCACGCTGGGCCAGAAATCAAAATAAACTCGAGCAGATCAAAGCGATAAGCGAAAACTGTCAAACCGCGCAGAAAAGAGAATAAATACTAGGCTAATGTGCCTCTCTCTCGAGACACACAACGCCTTTCTAGGTACAAAAACAAAGAGAGAAACTCTTTAGAATAGGATGTAAGACTCGAAAAGATTTTAGCAACAAAAAATGTCTAAACAAACTCATTGTATACTAGAGGCCTGGTGCACGAATTTGTGCACGAGTGGGGTCCCTTGGTCTGACCAGCGATCAGGGCCACAGGAGGCTGGCTGTGGGAGCGCACTGACCACCAGGGGGCAGCTCCTGCATTGAGCGTCTGCCCCCTGGTGGTCAGTGCGCATCATAGCGACCAGTCGTTCAGTCGTTCGATCGTTAGGGTCACTTAGGCTTTTATATATATAGATTACCATGTGACCCCACACCTCACACACATCCTCACAAGTCCCCACAAGCACGCATACACCAGGTGAGTCCTCCCAGTCATTGCTACCTGGTATCTGAGCTGGTATTCACATCTGGGTGGTCTGTGTCCAGATTCTATATGACCCTTACCTGCCGTCCATTGTTCCCCGACCTAATGATTTCGCGGGCCAAGACCCGCAGGCCGAATGTTCCCCACCCCTGTTCTACACCAAACAGGAAAATGATTTTTTTCCTGTCCATGTATTCTTCCTGGAAGGTGTTCTAGAAACAACACTCAACTCTACCTGTGCCGGGAACAGAGAGGGAGAACAGGCTGCCGGAAGCATGGGTCCCGAATCTCCATCGCCTAAAACTCACATCGACCCTCCACCTTCCCGCCTACAGCGAGGTGATGTTTCTGGCCCTGGTCAGGTCACACTGAACGCCTTCCACAGAACTTCGCTTTCCCTTTTGCAATACTGCAGTGTGGCCACCAGAGGGCACCAGCAACCCAGGCTTCCACGGGTCCACAGCAGGAAGCTGCGCTCCACCTGTCTTAATAAGGGAACACATATGCAAGGGCTCGTTTTCCAGGAATTAATGCTCTAGGATTTACGGGGAGCTGAGCATCTTTCCCAGAACAAGAGGCCTGGAAAACAGGGCTGTTGGCATGTGCGCTACCCGCTCTAAGACACAGTCCCAGTGGCCAATAGGATAGGTCGATGTGAGGTCAAGGATTTGGGGGCAGGAAGTGGGGGGCGGGGAGGCGCTCAGAGGGTATTGCCATCTACGTGCATGTTGGATAACTTTATAATAAGCATTACTCACATCTTTCTCAGGGATAATTGAAGTGGGACCAAGGGAACACTTTCTTGTGTGGCTGCTATAGGCTGGGCATCAAGCCGTTACAGTGAGCTTAGTTCAATTCAAACAACTGTAAGTATATGGTGATGATTAGCATTATCACTAGAAGCCCAGCGCGCAAAATCGCACGGCCCCACACTCGCCTCACCCGCTCACAGCCCCGCCCACCTAAGTTGGTCTTTGGTCATTACATTGGGGCCATGGGCTTTTTATATATATAGATTATTCCTAATTTGCTACTAACAAAGGATAATAAGGTTCAATATGTTTACATAATTTGCTGCAAATGCCTTGGTTCCTGAGGAGGCTTAGATTTGAGGTCCTGTGTGTTGCAAACCACGCTGAGCTAGAAAGGGCTGGCCGCCTGGCCGGTCGCTGGCGTGGCTCAGTGGTTGAACATCAACCTGTGCACCAGGAGGTCATGGTTCGATTCCCAGTCAGGGCACATGTCTGGGGTGGTGGGCTTGATCCCCAGCAGGGGGCGTGCAGGAGGCAGCCGATCCATGATTCTCTCTCGTCATTAATGTTTCTGTCTCTTCCTCTCCCCTCCTCTCTGAAATCAATTGTAAAAAGTTTAAAGAAAAAGGTTGGCTAACCACACTGACACAAGGGTGGAGAGAAAAAGGCTACGAAGAGCCACGCGGGGCCGGGCCTTACCGCAGCGGTCCCGGATGACCAGGTTCCGGCCCTCCTTTAGGTGGATGGTGAGGAGGTAGGCAAAGGGGCTGGGCAGGTTGCTCACGCCGTCGCTGGCTTCCCCGAGGGTCTGCAGAGGTGGAGAAGTAAGGTCAGTGGTCTGGGGAGAGAATTTCTGAAACACTCCTAATTGTAATAGGGGAAATGGTCACTCCAATGGCCAGTGTTCAAGACTGAGCTCCCACTGGGCCCCCAGCGTGGCTCCGTGGTTGAGCGTCGACCTATGGACCAGGAGGTCACGGTTCCATTCCCGGTCAGGGCACATGCTCAGGTTGCGGGCTCGATCCCCAGTGTGGGGTGTGCAGGAGGCAGCCGATCGATGATTCTCTCTGATCGTTGATGTTTCTCTCTCTCTCCCTCTCCCTTCCTCTCTGAAATCAATAAAAATAATAATTAAAAATAATAATAAAATCACTTCTTTAAAAAAAAAAGTGAGCTCCCACTCACTTTGAGGACTTGGTAACATTCGCCTGGTTAACATGTTCTCCATATTTCTCCCCAGTGGGATTCCGTCAGAAGTCAGAGGCAGTCATGGTAACATCCTCACAACATTAACTGTCTGAGAAGAATGAGATCAGTGACATCTGGATCACCCCTCCCGTCATTCACTGAGGGCCGGGTGCTTTATTCAGTCACTCACAGGGAAGCCCAAGAGAGGAAAGAGCACACAGAAGTGAGGCTATGCCCTAGCTGGTGTGGCTCAATGGGTAGCGCGTCGGCCTGCAGACTGAAGGGTCCGGGGTTCAATTCCATTCAAGCGCACATGCCCAGGTTGGGGGCTCAGTTTCCAGGGTGGAGCATGCAGGGGGCAGCCGATCCATGATTCTCTCTCATCACTGATGTTTCTCTCTCTCTCTCCCTCTCTCCCTTCCTCTCGGAAATCAATAAAAATACATTAATAAAAAGAAAATCATTTCAGTACATAACCACTCGGCTGACAACCCACTGAGTCCGCTCGTCCATCCAACATGTGGCCCTTGTCTGTGTCCACATGGGACACACTCTGTCCAGTCTTTTACACGTTTTTCTTTCATTCCCTGACCCCGACTATGGCGTCTCTTCCACTCACCCTCAGTCTCACCTCCCCACAACACTGCTCACTCCCCTCTCTGGGAATGAATGCATCGACGCTCACAGGCCACCATGTCCAAGTCCAGTCTAGTTTTGAATATTTATTCAGTGGATGCCACTGAAGTTTGGAACTTGAGTTGTGCACTCCCTCGCTGCCTGGCAATGACTTATTGTTCACCTATTTGACCTTCAACTTCATCGATCCTGTGGCTAAGGCACCCTTGGCGGTCGGTCTTCTTTGGAAAGTGTCCCCACCCCTGCTTCAAAGCACTTTGAAAATGGCTTTTGTCTCCTGTTCTGTAGCACCCGATTTCATAGCTTCTCTGTATTTTTAGAAGAATCTATCCCAGGCTCGCAAATCAATAGACACTGAATTAATCTCTTCCAGCTATCGTCTGTAAGGCCCGTCTTTGTAAGTGAATACCGTGGAGCGTTCTTTAAAAAGAAATGAGGCCAAGCGATGCAGACCCAAACATGTAGTAAGAAACACTGATAACGGGGACGCGTAGTGTTTATTGGTCCTAAAGGAATGTCACTCACAGACTGTTCTTCAAACTGTTGGGACGTCGTAGACGCATTGAGATCGCCACTTCCACAGAGCTTCTGTCAATAAAAAGAAAGGATAACCCTGCTTTAAAATAATAAAATAAATAAAATAAAATAAAATAAATAAAATAAATTAAAATAAAATAATAAAATAAAATAAAATATAAAATAAAATAAAATAAAAAAATAATAAAATAAAATAATAAAATAATAAAATAAAATAAAATATAAAATAAAATAAATAAATAAATAAAATATAAAAGAAAATAAAATAAAATAATAAAATAATAAATACATAAAAAATAAAGTAAAATAAGTAAAATAAAATATATAATAAAATAAATAAAAATTAAATTAAATAGATAAAGTAAAATTAAATAAACAAAATAAAATATAAAATAAAATAAAACAATAAATAAAATAAAATAATAAAATAAAATGCAAAAGAATATCAACCCACAGGGAAATCCTATGCCAGGTCCTTCCCTTGGGAATCTGCCATTTGCATGCCTGGTTTCAGGTGTGTGGGCTCCCGCCCTGCCTGGCAAGCCCAGAGTGACTCAGTGAAGTCCCCTGGCTGGGGCCTCTGCCCTCTTAGTCACTGATCAGAGCGGAGATACGGCCCAATCTGCTTTCCCACTGGCCGCTCACCCATCCCTCGTTCATCCTTTGCGGAGCAGGAGCAACAGGGCCATTCTCCCGGGTCCCGCCCGGGGTGGGCATGTCCGGCTCCCAGCCATCAGCAGGAGCAGGCAACGCAGGAACCCAAGAGCCAAGCTCGCTAATTAGGTAGAAAACATTTCAAAATGGGATGGGAAAGACCTTCCCCAGAACAGACCCTCTTGGGTCTGACACCTGTACAAACAAAAAGTAGGAAATGTATGTTCTTTTTTTTTTTTTAATACATTTTTATTGATCTCAGAGAGGAAGGGAGAGGGAGAGAGAGAGAAACACCAATGATGAGAGAGGATCATGGATCAGTCGCCTCCTGCATGCCCCCTACTGGGGTTGGATCCACAACCCGGGCATGTGCCCTGACCGGGAATCGAACCGTGACCTCCTGGTTCATAGGTCGACGCTCAGCCACTGATCCCCCAGGGCTGGGCAGTTCTTTTCTTAAATGTTACATCTCAGAAGCGGCCTTTCCCAGCTGCTCTGTTAAAAACTGAACACCTCGCCCTAGCTGGTTTGGCTCGGTGGATAGAGCGTCGGCCTGCAGACTGAAGGGTCCCAGGTTCGATTCCGGTCAAGGGCATGTACCTTGGTTGCGGGCACATCCCTGGTAGGGGGTGTGCAGGAAGCAGCTGATTGATATTTCTCTCTCATCGATGTTTCTAGCTCTCTATCCCTCTCCCTTCCTCTCTGTAAAAAAATCAATAAAATATATATTTAAAAAACAACTGAAAACCTCTGCCCCAGCACCCCCAATCTCCTTTCCTGCATTATTTTTCTCCATTGAATTGATTGCTCTGAAAATATCTGTAGCCTGCCACCGCTCAAAATAGGATCTTCATGAAGAAGTGGGTTTTTGTCTGCTCTGTTGACGGCCGTGTTCCCAGGATCAGCACATAGTAGGTGCTCAACAGCTGGGAAGGAGGGAGGGGAGCAGGAAATAGAGGCCAGGTGCTCCGAGGAGGGGACGTGGGGTAGGGCTGACACGCCTGTGGCAGGAACACCATGAAGTTGAGTAATGATTTCTGAGCTGGAACAAAAATAGTCAAAGAACACGTGATTGATGTGGGGAGCGAATGACGCGCTTGTCTCATCCCGCGAGCTGCAGGCTGTCTCCCCTCCGTGGTTTGTCACTGTGCGTCTCTGTGGTCACTAAACTGAAGCTCTGCGGTTGCCGAGCAGCTTCTAGAAATATCCCACCAGGGTTCTTTCCTCAACCGCTCAACTCATCCACAGAAGCGAGCGCCGAAGCTAGTTTCAAACTCCGACTGCAAGTAAAACATGAGGGGAGGACGTGCCCCATGGGAAGATGACATGGGGAGGGAGGATGGAGAGGCAATGATCCTCCCATTCGTTCATGATTATTAGTTATTGATCATGATGAAATGCCCATTCAAACACTATCATTATTCCTGCTTTTATTATTATTTTTTTTTTTTACTGATTTTAGAGAAAGAGGAGGAAGGAAGAGAGAGAAAGAGAAAGACTCATCAATGATGAGAGAGAAACATCATCCATTGGCTGCCTCCTGCACGCCCACCCCCCACTGGGGATCAGCCCCCAACCTGAGCATGTGCCCTGGCCAGGAACCAAACTGGCAACCTCTCGGTGGGTAAGTCGACGCTCAACCACTGAGCCACACCGGCCCGGCTTTCCCTGCTTTTAAAAGGGCACAGTGGACACAGAAAAATAATGACTTCTTTTGATAACCAACTTTGTTTTGATCCGCAGCTCTGGATTCCAATTGGAGTTTGTTAGTATATCTAAGCCAAGAAGCCCATCCTATATAATAAAAGCCTAATATGCAAATTTTCTCCTCAACTAGGAGTTTGAGGGGGGGGGCACGTCCAGCAGCCAGCAGCCACTAGGGGCCCTTCCGGTGCATGAATTACGTGCACGGGGCCTCTAGTTAAGTCTAAGTAACAAGAAGCCAAGATTCACGTAGGTCCATTATTCAACCAGCTATCTCCTTCCTACTGACCTAGTTTAATAATTCACTTAATTTCTATTTTGATTAGTGAAAACACATATTTCCAATGTATAGGTACAGTAACAAGCATAAAATTGTTACAGAAAGGATTTCCTGAGTGTTGACGGCAATGAAAAAAAGAGTTAAGTGCAGTCCTTTAATGGGTAGTGGTGTCGTAATATAGTAACGCTTCCAAGTGAATCGAACCACAACATCCTCTGAAGAGCCACGATGCCATTCCCCAATTAAAGTGAAATATATGGCCCTGGCTGGTGTTGCTCAGTGGTTAGAGCACCTGACGGTGCAGGAAGGGTCACAGGTTCCAGTCAAGGGCATGAAGCTGGGTTGCAGGTTCGTTCCCAGGCCCTGGTGGGAGTGTGTGCAGGAGGCAACCAATCGATGTGCCTCGCTCACATCCATGTTTCTCTCTCTCTATCTTCCCTCCCACTCTCTCTAAAAATCAATAGAAAAAATAACCTCCAGTGAGGATTAAAAAAAATAATAAAATATCATAAAGGGAAATATATGACATAATTAATAGGCTTTGGTTCCAAAAGTAAAATCAAAAATCCCAGTGGATAACCAGCTTTCTATGCAGTTATCACAATGACCTGGAACAGAGAAAATTTAACCCCTTTCCTCAACACTGCAACCTACTTCGGTGCCTTTAATGGAGGAATTTTTCAAAATCTGATTAAAGAGATCATCAAACCATGACTTAATAATCTGGTGATTATACTTACATTAAACTCTTCTGAGAAATGTAAGATTTGCCTCATGATTCTATTTGGCTGTTTTAGCTGATTGAAATACTGGGGCCTTGTAAAATCACTATATTGGTAAGAATTTGTTTCCTTCAGTTTTTTTGTTTGTTTGTTTTTTTAGAGAATGCACGTGAAGTTGCCCACAGGTAAGTGCACACAACATACACACACACACACACACACACACACATGCGTGTACATGTGTATGAAATAGAACAGAATTCAAACTCCTTGGAAGTCAAAGGGAAACATACATCCATACATTTCTAGGAGTAGTAATACGCATGTTTTATCTACGTTAGGACTAGGCAATGGTGGGGGGAGAGAGAGAGAGAGAGAGAGAGAGACAGACAGACAGACAGACAGACACACACTTAGCAAATTTAGAGGAAAAGTGATGCTCTTACTTTCTTTGCCAGGAGATGGAAAAAAAGGAAAACTCATCCAATAGGGCTCTTAATGCCTTAAAGTGTCCGAGAAAGGGTTTTTGTAATAGTTTCAAAATACACAGAGGTCAACCCCAAAACTGATGGGAACACTTGGTGCGATCAATACACCAATCATTTAAATTCTTGTAAATGACGCTGTCTCCATCCAAGCTAACCACGGAAATAACTCCTCATCTGGTTTCTCACCAAGGGCACCCGGTGCAATGAAAATAAGGAAAAAAGCACACAGATCATTGTGTGGTGAGGGCCTGGGCAGGGAGTGGGGGCGGGGGCGGGCTAGAAGGGGTTAATGGGGGGAAGAAGGGGACATATGTAATACTTTCACCAAGAAAGATAAATTCACAAATAAACAAATATAAAAATAGATAAAGAAATTGATTAAATTAAACATAAAAATAGCCTGGCTGGCATGGCTCCGTGGTTGAGCATTGACTTGTGAACCAGGAGGTCAGGGTTCGATTCCCGATCAGGGTACATGCCCAGGTTGCGGGCTCGATCCCCAGTAGGGGGCATGCAGGAGGGAGCCTATCAGTGATTCTTTCTCATCACTGATGCTTCTCTCTCTCCACCTCTCCCTTCCTCTCAGAAACCAATAAAAATATTTTTTAAAATTAAATAAATAGCTCTCTATATAAAAGCCTAACATGCAAAGTGTCCCCTTCAGAGTTCAACCAACTGGGAGTTCCATCACTCGCTATGATGTGCACTGACCACCAGGGGGCGGCGGGGAACAAAGGGAGGCGCCGACCGGCATAGGGACCCTACCTGTGCACGAATTTTGTGCACTGAGCTTCTAGTAGATAAATAAGAAGGAAAAAAGCAATGGGATGGATGGTGCTGGCCCGGGCCTCACCTCTGGATCCTCCGGAGCATCCTCTTCCGGGGGCGCCTTCTGGAGCAGATCAAAGACGCCATTGCTGGAAGCCCTCCTGTCCGCGGCCGGCGAGGCGAAGGTCTCCTCAGAGTCCGTATCCGCCGCATGCAGGTGGCCTGCCTCTTCCTGGCTCCAGTCCAGCTCTTCTTCCAACTGTTTCAAGGAGCTGCTGCAGCTCTTGGACACGATCCCTGCCGTGGACAGGCTGCTGGGCACAGAGGTATAGGACGACTGGGCCCCGGAGTACGGCCCACCCTCCGGGGCCAAGGCCTGGGCCTCCAGGAGGTCAGGGACCGAGAGGCTGAGGCGGCGATCCAGGCGATGCCGCCCCCCTAAGTCTGGGGGTTTGTCGGGGTGCTTCTTCACCTTCTTTTTGCTCAGGTTGAGCAGCAAAGGCCTGGTCCGCTGTTTGAAGGAGCCCCAGACGGAGGGTTTATCCAGATCCATGGCTGCATGAAGACCCCGGAAGTGGCTCCGCGAAAGAGGCCGCCTCCCCTGCAGAGCTCAGTGACACCTAGAAAACAGAACATAAGGAGAAGGGACATGAAATGTCTCTGTGGTGTCAGGGCCCTGGAAAGTGGGAAAGATGACTCAAAAATGGTACCCTTTCCGGTAAGTGATCGAGATGGAAGAAGCATCTGATTGGTCACATCTACAGAGATCAGGAAAAGCTTAGAGAACTGAATTTTTAAAGATTTCTTTTTTAATTGAAGAAGTTACAGAAAAGTTAAAGCAATGAATGAAATGATAGGTTGAAACACACACATACATATAAATGCTTCATAGAAAGATGGCTTATTTCACTCAGCATAATGCCCTCCAGGTTCATACATTCTGTTGCAAATGGAAGAGTTCCCTTCTTTTTCATGGGTATATAATATTCCACTGTATATACAGGGGAAGGCAAAAGTAGGCTTACAGTTGTGAGTACGCAAAACAGAATTTATTCTTTATTGTATTCTTTTCCATAGGAACAACTGTAAACCTACTTTTAAACCTACTTTTCCCACCCAGTATATGTAACACATTTTGTTTATCCATTCATCCCTTGATTTTGACTACTGTGGATAAAGCTGCAATGGACAAGGGAGTGCAGATATCACTTCGAGATACTGAACTCATTTCCTTTGGATAAAAACTCAGAAAAGGGGGAGCTGGATTATATGATATATATCCTTTTAATTTGTTATTTTTTAACTTTTTTTAAATCCTCACCTAAGGATATTTTTCCATTGATTTTTAGAGAACATGGAAGCTAGAGGGAAAGACAAAGAGAAATACTGATGTGAAAGAAACACATGGATTAGTTGCCTCCTGTACAAACCCCGACCATGGCCCGGGCCAGGGAGGAGCCTGCAACCGAGGTACATGCCCTTGACCAGGATCGAACCCGGGACCCTTTGGTCCACAGGCTGATGCTCTATCCACTGAGCCAAACCGGCTAGGGCTAGTTGTTAATATTTTAAGGAAATCCCGTACTGTTTTCCCTAATAACTATACAAATTTATATTCCCACCAACATGTACAAAAACGTTCTCTATTCTCCTCACCCAGCAGCACTAGAAGCAGAATCTCTCTATAAAACAAGAAACCTACACTACCCGGTTTTCATTTATGGAGGGACAATAAGCAATCCACTTCCTCAAACCACCGAGGGCGGAACGAGGTCTCTACAGGAAGCGGCCCCAAGCCACGGCGCCTAATGGGAGTTTCAATCCGTATGGTTCTACCCCAGACATCCTCCCAGCTGGCTGCTCGCAATAGGCCAAACGGGAGAAGGAGAAACCTTTTCAATACCAGCCCACGTTTCTGAGGGACTCTGGACCACAACCACCATCTGAGCAAGAAACTCAAGAAAGGGGAGGGATCGGGAAATAACAGCTTAAGTCAGTGGTTCTCCACCTTCCTAATGCCACGACCCTATCATACAGTTCCTCATGTTGTGGTGACCCCCAACCATAAAATTATTTTCGTTGCTACTTCATAACTGTCATGTTGCTACTGTTATGAATCGTCATGTAAATATCTGATATGCAGGATCTATTTTCATTGTTACAAATTGAACATCATTAAAGCATAGTGATTCATCACAAAAACAGTATGTGATTATATATGTGTTTTCCGATGGTCTTAGGCGACCCCTGTGAAAGGGTCGTTCGACCCCCAAAGGGGTCGAGACCCACAGGTTGAGAACCGCTGACTTAAGTTATGTGCACTGGACTTCTTCAGTGACACAGATTCCTATGATTTTATTTATTGATTTATGTTCTCATTTTTACCATTTGTTTCTATACTCTTGGGGCTGATTGGCTATTCTTTTTTAAAATTCTTGACATGGAGAATTAGATACTGATGGCCAGAAGTATTATTTTCTCATTTATGAATTTAATACTATAAATTTCCCTCTAAGTACTAAGTGTGTTGCATCCTGCAACTTTTGATATGTCGTATTTTCATTACCATTTAATTAAAAATATTTCCCCCTTGCCCTAGCTGGTTTGGGTCAGTGGATAGAGCGTCGGCGTGCGGACGGAAGGGTCCTGGGTTCGATTCCGGTGAAAGGGCACATGCCTGGGTTGCGGGCTCGATCCCCAGTGGGGAGCGTGCAAGAGGCAGCTGATCAATGATTCTCTCTCATCATTGATGTTTCTATCTCTCTTTCCCTCTCCCTTCCTTTCTGATATCAATAAAGATATATAAATATTTTAAATATTTCCACCTAGATGGTGTGGCCCAGTGGTTGAACGTCAACCTATGAACTAAGAAGTCATGGTTCAATTCCCAGTCAAGGGCACATGCCCGGGTTGTGGGCTCGATCCCCAGCAGGGGGCGTGCAGGAGGTGGCCGATCCATGATTCTCTCTCATCACTGATGTTTCCATCTCTCTCCCTCTCCCTCTCCCTTGCTCTCTGAAATCAACAAAAATATATTTTAAAGAATATATATTTCCTACATTTCATTTTGAGTTCTACGGGACATCCAGGATGCTTTTTTTGTAGTGCTTAATTTCTAAAACATAACGGATTTTCTAGTTATGTTCGTGTTTTGACTTCTAACTTAGCTCCTAAGGATTAAGTCAGGGAGGGACAATCCCCATGTTTTCATTCCTCTGCAGTTGGAGGCCTTTTTTCTGGCACAGCTTACAGTTAATTCTGCAGCTGCTGGGCTCTGTGCATGTCAATTAATTGAAACTGATTGACTGTATTGATTAGATCTATGTTCTTCAGCTTCCTCCTTGTTCGATCAGTAAAGAGAAGAGGATAGGCCCTGAGAAACAGCCATGATGTTGAGTTGACAGAACTCAGTGAGGAGAGAGAGAGAGAGGGAAGTGTCCGGCCTGAGCCCAGCTCCACTGAAGAGCGAGCAGCAGGACCATTCGCTCAGACGCCCGACTGAAAGGGCTATTCTGAGCTCAGCGCCGGCTTCTTTGTGTTGGGGAAGTTCAAGTGGAGGAGCCGCATTGGCAGCCAGGCACATGATAGTGGAGCTAAGAGGGAGGTGGGGTCTAGAGATAGACTTTGCAGAGACGGGCCTGGCATTCAGACGCTAACGGGAGGCGTGGAAACGCCGAGAAGCGCATAAAACTGCAAAGACAGGAATGAGCTTGAAGGAACTCCAGCACCTCACAGTCTGCTCAACTTGCAAAGGAGACTAAAAAAATTAAAAATAACTAACGCAGCTAGAGAGCGGGTGGGAGAAGCGCGGTGTCACTTTAAGACAAATAAAACAAGACAAAGGAAGGGCGTTCTGTAAAGGAAGTGGTCAAGAACATCACAAGTTTGCAGGTTAGCTGCCAGCAGTCCCGAGCCCACCAATGTGGTGCAACAGAGGTGATTGGTGATCTCGGTATGATCTGTTCGGGTGGCTGTAGGGGCTAGAGAATCTGACTGAAATCGGTCCAAAAGGGAGGGGGAAAGGCAGACATGGAGGCCACAGATGAGATGACTTCCTAACGGTTGGGCTGGAAGAGAAGATGGACATAGGTTGGTCATGTTGAGGGGGTTTGATCATGGTTAGAGTTAGGCAGAGGCCATACGCTGGATGCTAAAGGCACCAGCTTCTTTGGTGACAGGACTCAATCAGTAACTACTTGACTGGCCCAGCCGGTGTGGCTCAGTGGTTGAGCATCAACCTATGAACCAGGAGGTCACGGTTCAATTCTCAGTGAGGGCACATGCTAGGGTTGTGGGCTGGGTCCCCAGTGTGGGGAGTGCAGGAGGCAGCCAATCCATGATTCTCTCTCATCATGGATGTTTCTATCTCTCTCCCTCTCCCTTCTTTTGTGAAATCAATAAAAATATTTTTTTATAAAAAGAAACCGTGAAAATTCATACTGAGAGATCAGTTTTCAATAAGTCTGTATAAGGCAGGCCTTGAAAAGATATGACTCAAGATACTCAAAGCTGTAGGGATAAATCTATGTTATTATCTAAGATATTAATTATGCTTACGATTGAATTTCATCAGAACTTGAAAATTAGAATTTGCAACCAAGCCCAAATCATCAGAATGCCATCACTGAAAAGATATGACGCCAGACAACCCATGCTGTAGGGATAAATCTGTATTATTATCTGCCTCAAACAGTAATGATGCTTACAATTGGATGTGAAGAGAACTTGAAATTTGGCAGATTTTGAAACTAAGGCCAAGCAAGCCTAACTGCTTCAATAGGAGACCTTTCGATGGGCACTTTATAAACAGAATCTGATCCTAAGAGAGGAAGGCATGGCAACATAGCTGGAGATATTAAAAAAAAAAAAATTAGCCCTGGCCAGTTTGCTCAGTGGTTAGAGCATTGGCCCACAGACCGAAGGGTCGAGGGTTCAATTCCCAATCAAGGGCACATACCTTGGTTGTAGGTTCAATCCTCGCCCCAGTCAGGGCACAAGCAGAAGGCAACCAGTCAATGTGTCTCTCTCACATCCATGTCTTGCTCTCTCTCTCCCCTCCCCGCCCCCTCCTCCCTCCCTCCCACTCTCTCTTTAAAGATCAATGGAAAGAATATCCCCAGGTGAGGATTAAAAAGAAAAACAAAAACGTTTTTATCCTAATCCTATATAAAAAAGAGAGCTAATATGCTAATTAGACTGAACAGCAGAACGACCATCCAGAGGACCGTCCGGACGACCTTCCAGATGAAGCCGGGGCTGCGAAGGGCCGAGCCCCTTGCATGAATTTCGTGCATCGGGCCTCTAGTAGCTTCATAATATTAATAACAGGGTTCCAATCGATCCCTCATTCAGTACTGAAAATCCGTCAACTAGACTTCTCTTAAATCCTACAAGTACAACGATCCATCACATCTATATAGAAAATGATGCCATATGTGCATCTTTTAAAAATAATAGTCATTTTCTCAAGGCTGGCTCCACAAAACCAAGTCCCTGAAATCAGGGGGCGTTTACGCTGAAGGAGGAGATGGATAAACCTTGTAACAAAAATACAAGCCAATGGCAGGGTATGCACGTGCCATCCTGTAAGCTATCAGGAAGAAACAGAAAGCCAGCCGAG